ATATATATATATATATATATATATAGAGAGAGAGAGAGAGAGAGATAAAAAAAGACTGTCGAAATCTATAAGAATCGACTCCGAAATGAAACAATTCGTAACGGGCAAAGGGGCAAGGTAGGTTCAAATATTTTTTAAATGAGGAACGGAGTTTCTTCTTTCGCATCTTGACAAACCCTCGAACACGAATTTTCATTGCAATCCAAAAATAAAAATTTTTACCTCAAATTTTCGTCAAGGCAGGAAGAAAAGCCTTAAATTTTTTTTTTTAAATCACAAAAGTTGTCATAACTTCCATATGGCCCAAGATATCTAAATAAAAAAAAAAACAAAGCATTTAGGGCCCTAAAATATAGACGAAATGGCACAAACCAGAGGTCCGTAAATAAAATAGGCTTGGAGAAAAAAAATGAAAACCTGTTTCCAGTTTTCCTTTATTTATTCCTTATGAGAACAATTAAATGTAAAAGTTTTTTATATAGGCTTAAAGAGCAACAACTAAGCTTTCCAACGGCCATACAAACATTGAATCAGGAGAAAATCAAGAGAAGTTATGGGCTATTTAGTGAAAAGCAGGTAAAACGATTCTAATAGAGAGTGGTTTGGTATCCATGGTAACCACATCATCTCATCTACCAATATCATTACATAAACATAAACACAAATCGGTTCAGCCCCTTTTACTCCTCTATTATTTAACCGATTTTCTTCCTTCTTTTTTTTGTTTAATAGATATTGACGAGCTTTAGTGTTATCAATAAATAAAAATATTAAATAGTATGTGAATAAAAATATAAATGGCAGTTTGTTCATGATGGCTTATCTCCGAAAGTTCTTCACCGATTTCTTTTAAATTTTTACACAACGTCGCAATAATATTTAAAAGTTTATTTATATACGTTTCATTATCATTGGGCCTTTTCTTTCGAAATGGCGGCCGAAAAACGTGATTCGCTTTAGACTATAGCGTCAATACGGCTTCAACGATTTCAATGAAACTTGGTTAAAGTCTTCCCCTTGAAACCTTTATAATTTATGTATATAACATACTTTCCCGAAAACAAGCTGCATACATTTTTATGATGAATTCAGTATTTTATTTGCGAATAACTCAAAAAGTACACATTTTTTTACTGATAATACCAGTATTTATTTGAAAGCTTTCTTGATTTTCTACAATATATATATATATATATATATATATATATATATATATATATATATATTTAATCGTTCAGCGGTTTAGCATGATAGCTGCATATAAGTTTTTAGAAAAAAGGATTTTGTTTAAGAGATTAATTGAGGTATTGCTATCCTGGTCGGCCAGATTAAGACTTCAGAAACGATTCATTGGTTATCACTAACCTCCGTTGCACAGGTATATGCTATAAGTACCCCACGAGCACTAGCGGATACAGGATTTAATTTTTTGGGGGAGAGGGCTTCAGCCCAAAAAAAAGCCTTTTTTTCATAAAAATGACGATATTTATTTTGGAAAGAAACTAACTGTCTATATGAAATGGTGTTTAAGTGATTCCTTAAGTCCTTTCAAATGTAATTATACGAACAAAAATACTTTAAGAGATAATTTTTAAATATTTTTTTTTCCATAAAACATTGTTATATTTTACCATTTGGGGGGGAGGAGGGAGGCTTCAGCCCGAAAGCTCCCCTCCCCCCCGTAGATCCGCCCGTGCCCACGAGTACCTTATCTGGGTAATTAGTCAAGGGATGCCTCGAAAATGAATCATTACATAAAGCAAGTAGTATTTGATCCGGATATTTATTCATGTAATTACCAATTAACTTATAATTGAGAGCTAAAGCTCAAAAGATAGAGAAACAGAAAATAATTGAGGAAATAAAAAATAAAAAAATGAACCGTTTATCAATTGAGGTTTCGTCGATAAGATGGTATGACTTTTTTTTAGATAAATTGTCAACCAATTAATAACACTCAACTCTGATTTCGAACAATCGATAAAAGAAGGTGAGAATCCTAGCACCCCCAATTGGTCGAATAAGCCCCAAATTAGGCGAGAGTGGCCACTGCCCCCCCATTGTCGATGACCAAGTGGCCATACTTTCCACAAACAGTCCTATCCTTTATGCTCGCCGTGGGAAAGGCTTAGCATCTTTCTGGGTGTCTTCTATCCCTTCACAGGCTTCTGTGTGAAATTTTCCACGGTATAACCTGTGAGAAATAGTTTTATCCAATAGTCTTATCACGATTCGTATTTATTTCTGTTTAAAAAAATTATTTATAAACGTCTTTTCTTAACTTTTTAAAATTATTTTACATAATATTCCCTAAATGAACAAAATTAAGGCATGACATGAAGTATTTCCTCAATGTTTAAAATTATGACTCTAATAAGATTATTTATTTATACATAAACATCTTAATATCCCTTATGTAACACCCATATCAATCCTCTAGTTTTGAAATAGAAATAGAAAAATCATCATTATTCTGGGACTAGGTCCCTTTAGAATAACAGCATTGTTCATATAAATTAACCATAAATCTGGCCAAAAGACCTATTACAATGAATAATAAGAAAATACTAGTAATAAATTAAGTATAATAGCTCTTAGGATAAATTAACGAGAACAGATGGGTGATAGGGATTCAGTACTACAATATTGGAGCTAAAACAATAGCATAATAATCACTGAATGAAATTATAAAGGAACGCAAAATCAATTTTATAGGCAAAGCATTGTAGTGATGGAATATAAAAATAAAAAAAACAATAATAATAACTGTTAATATGTAAAGAAATAAATTGTAAAAAAAAATAATATACATATGTTCCCTCAGATATTTAAGTAATTATGCGTAAAGATTAGGAGAAGAAAAAATAAAATAAAGCGTATATATATACGCTAGCGAGGAGTGAGTTGAAGATAATTAACTGTTATAATAAACAATAGTTTATTGACTGTTATGCGCTTCAGATATCATGGGCCCCCAAAAAGTGAAAAATCAATCACAATGAAATATGTCAAAGAGGTTTACAAATGGTCCAAATATACACAGAACTACATTGTACGTTTGGAAACAGGAATAACAACTATGGAAGTAGAAGTTGTCAAAAGAATGTACAAATGGTGGATAACTGTACAAAAATGCCTGAAGATAGAATCCCACGGATTTGCTACAATAGATTGAAGGAATTGGACAATAATCGCAATATGGTTTTTAATTGGTTCTCTAAGCTAAAACCAAATAAAATTTTAACCATAAATTTAATAAAACCAAACCAAAGTTTTAAAAAAAAATAAAATTCTACAATAGAATATAAATAGGAAGTGTTGCCAATGACCCTGCAGGGTAGAGGCAACAATAAAAAACAAATAAATAAATAAATATTTTACTTTAAAATAAGATCATTCATTATGAATGAATAAATGCCAGCAATATTTATGTCTATGTTTATGTTTACCACAAGACATTGTTATCTTCGACTAAGAAGTGAGCGTATATACTGTTGCAATCTGCTAAATTGTATTGTGGGAATATATTATTGCTATTTTTAAAATCCCTTTAATGTATATTTATTTGATTTTTTTTTTTATATATATCCTCAAAGTCAATACTTTTTATTTATATTGTTATACAGTTTACTTTGATTCTTTTTTATGTAATAATGTATTTAATGGAGCCAGATCTCGTGTAATAGGCCCCCCAAAAATGAATAGTGTCTTATTTTTCTCCGGAATTATATATTAGACAGTAATCGCTGCAGATGGACCATGCGATGCTAGATCAACAACAATCATTCAGATATGATGATGCGTTGTCAACCGTACACAAGCCAGCATATATAGTAAATTCATAATATAATTCAATAAACGCGTATTACAGGTTTTCATTACTTTTTTCGTTTTTGTAAGTACTTAAACGACAACGATTGAATCCTCAACTCTTGTGCGAGACTTGAAAATACTGATTTTAGAGCCTCAGCCAATTATTTGTTTATTGGAAGTAACGAGGATAGCTCCTCGCAATTTGATTCCTTGGAGTCTCAACAATACGTTTTTTCTCAACACCTGTTTACATTTGCGAAATACGATTGAAAAAAAAGAGTACATATATAGATTGTTTAAGTAGCTCAGATAATTCACAGGAACAAATATGAATTCACCTCATTTGGGGGGAGAGGAGGGGCTTCAGTCCGAAAGCCCCTCCCACCCCACCGATGGATCAGCCATGGCTCCACAATTAATTCATGTTGGTATCAAGAGTACCCTGTTACGCAAAGCTGCCATGCGTTAGGGTATCACTGCCATCATAAGGCGCAAAGTAATCGAGTTATATGTTGATGGTATTACTTCATTTTTACTCAATTTTTTTTTTAATTAAACAATGAATAAAGTAAGATTATTTCAATGAGTTAACAATAATAATTCATTACTTTAAGTTACTGAAGTAAAGATTAAATTTTTCATTCATGATTATTGATTTGATATTAGAATAAAATTTATCTAATTGTGATATCATATCGATGTTGTTAATAATTCACTTACTTAATAGGAATAAATATAAATACATAAATATTGTGAAAAATCATTACGTGACATTTTAGAAAATTGAACCACTAAGTACTTACAAATTTTCCTTTTGTGAAATCAAACCATTGTGCATTTATTGTATCTATTTTTGACATGTATAAGGATTTGCTTTATTTTGGTATAAATAATTTATAAACATGGTCTTAAAAGTTTAGCCCTAATAAAAATGTACTTAGTGAATATATGTAATAAACCGAAGCTCAGTATAAATATATACAAATATTTCTGAGGATCTTGCGGTTCAGTTGACATATAATAGCTTCTACTCGGTTCATTATTTATAACATATGTAAATTAAATTTTGTTTTTATTGGATCATGCGTTGGAATCTATCCCATGATTCATATCAAGTTTACGTGAGTAGATAAAATTTAAATACCCTAAACCATTCTCCTCACGTTTTGGTGTTCCCTTAATTGTCTATGCTAATATCGGTCAAAGCCTCAAACATTTTCCTTCATTTGGCAGTTACCAAACCAAACATCACCATAATGTTTATCCTATACCCTCCAAATGCAATTGTCGAACCCCTCCCAAACACCAAGCTTGAAACAGCAAACAATGGATTCCGAATTCGAGCAACTCAACACCGACAGCAATGGCGGACGAGGAAGCCATGGCCAGATGGCTGCCGGAAGATAATGGCGCCCAACGATAGGTCATTCTGACAGGAAGGGTTCCGGTAATTGTATGTCAGCTCATGGGATGTGAGTCATGATGGGATTTGGCAAGGAGCGCTGTTTGCTGTTTGTTGAGTCACTCAGTTATTAACTAACTTTCCTCACTGCAAGAAGAAAATGAATCCAGGATTTGCAGATCCACGTTAATTTAATTTAATATTCCGCGGTATAGATCACTTTTTATCAAATTATTAGCCTCCGTCTAAAACATCGTGAGTGGCTTCATCATATCATAATCATCGTAACCTAGAACCTTTTTATCTACGAAAATTCTCAGAAATGGGACGTTGTTTTCACATTAAATTAATGTTGTATATCTAGAGTTCTATCTATATATTTATATATGTTATTTGAGATATTTCTAATTATTGGAGACTAAGTGCTCAACTATTAATAATAATAAAAAGGCTTAGCGAACCCGAAGGTTCGATGCCGACACCACCAATCGCTTATTGCACACCTCCCTCCATCGTTCGCCGTCCAAACCCAGTCCCTTCAGATTGGCTTTAATGCAATCTTCCCACCTTTGCTTCGGTCTACCCCTCGGACGCTTACCATTCGGCACAGCAAATATTAATCTTTTAGGAATTCTCTCGTTACTAAGTCCAACAACTTTACAAGCCTATTTGATTCGCCGCGATGAAATTATCTCAATTATATTACTCGGATACAGTTCACGCAATTCGGCGTTGTGTAACCGTCTGAACTCTCCGGTTAACTCATCCTTCTTCGGTCCGAATATTCTACGCAATACGTTATTTTCAAAAACCTTAAGACGCTGCTCATCCCTTAATGTAAGTGGCCAAGTTTCGCACCCATAAAGAACTGTAGGAAAGATAATTGTTTTATAGATTCTAATTTTTAAGTTTCGGGACAAGAGGCGCGAACTAAGTAGTTTTGTCACAAAAAAATAACAAACATTTCCTACCTTCAGTCTAACCTTAATTTCTTCTTCAATTTCGTTTTTTCTAGTTATCGTAGAACCTAGATACCTAAACTTATCTACCTGTTCAAACATATTACTATCTATATCGATATCACCAGTGGTATCGCATTTTTGCAGCTAACTATATATTTTGTTTTATCCACGTTTATTTCGAGTCCAAGTTCTTTACCGGCTTTCATTAGCGTTGTCGTATTTAGTTTTATAGTTTCAAGGTCTTCGCTTAACAGTACCAGATCATCCGCATAGCCAAGCGGGTCCCACCCAGATCCAACCCTTTTTCGGTACGCATTACCTCCCTAATGGCATGTTCTAATGCCAAATTGAACAGGACAGGAGAAAGGGAATCCCCCTGTTTTAAACCCGAACGAACCTCAAATTTTTTGGACAGATTATTACCGATTCTAACTTTTTTGAGTGTCTCCATCAAGCACATCCTGACTAGATTTACTATTTTTTTAGGAATCCCCTGCTCGATTAGAATATTATACAGTTTCTGGCGGTCAATAGAATCGTAAGCCTTTTTAAAATCTATATACAGCTGCTGAACAATACTGTTGTACTCCAATTTTTTCGGCGCGATCAACTATTAGAATTTTATTTTATTTTCACTTTCTTTTCATTTATTTTTCTTTCAAAGCAGGTATTATTTGTTATCATATTATCGCTGGAAGAGTTCTGTACATAGTTTAATTTTTATTGCATATTTTTTTTTTATTCTCATTTTATTTAAAGTACCAACCCTTTCGGCCAGAAATAATTTTTTTTTCAAAACCCAAATCCTTATTATCTTATCGAGAGCATAAGAGAAACTGCAAATTAAAACTTCACATTCTTAGGTATTGTTATTTTTGAGATACAGATACTTTCAATAAGTCAGTAAATGCTTCTGCTGACCATAGATTCTTTGAATAGGCTATGACTCGGCAATATATGACTAATGACCACTCTTACAGTGTGAATAGTGATCTCTCACAGTCCCGATTTGTCACGGCAACTATTTGTTACCGGCAGATCTAGGGTATGAATGAAACTCAAGTTTTCCCCTGCTGCTGAAATAGCGCGTCTAATAAAATTAAATAATACTAGTATAACCCAGTGAATGCTCTTATATTAAGTAGGGATCCTTCTTCCTAAGCATTCGACGTATAAGTGACATTCTGGAAAACATATTTATTCGTATATGGTTTACAATATAATATTATTCAGGTAGTCTATTTAACACACACAATTGATAAGGCTTCATATTTTTCCAAGACCGTTAAAACAATAACTAACTTAATAACTGGTTAGCTTGTACGACTAGAAAATATTCCTCGTGTTCAATAGTTAAGCAATGCTATCTCTATTCCTATCAACTATCCCTGAACTTATGATAATCCATAATTCTAATCGTTCAAAATCTATTTTTTTGGTACATAAAGCCTACCTTACAAGGTCAAATATATTGACCGTCTGAGGGATATATTGTAACAACTATATTAACATTTCCACTATGTATACAACGTTCGAGAATATTGCTTCAATATTATTGATTCAATAATATTGACCGTCTAAGGTAGGCATAAGAGCCTTCGTTTGTATTTGTCTTTCTAAGAGCATAGAAGTATATTATTGAGAGCATAGAAGCGATATTATACTATTAAAAATATCAAACAGTTTCTTTCTATATTTTCTGAAGAGCCCAAGGTATCAAACAGGTATTTTCTTGCATTTTACCTTACCAAAAGGTTTGTATTTCGACGAACACTACCATAAATAATAATATTTTAATTTTTAAAACCTAAACATGTGATAATAAAAGAAGGAATGCCATAGGCTCAAAAAAAATTTCTCCAATATACATTTTTTCTTCGAAAGCTGTGAGACTAAATTCGAAATGAATTAATGGGGTTTATATATTTAAGAAAAATTATGGAAAAATAACTAATTAAAAACACAATCAGTAAAAATTTGGAATGATGCATTCCATATGGAACATATATCACAGTTACTTTTCAAAGTTTTGTATTGTTTAATATTGTATTTTTCAACAGAGAACTTCGAAACAGTTGAAAAAAAATTCACAAATGAAAAAGTTATTACCTGGTAAACATACAGCGCTAGTGTTGTTTAAAATGGCGATATGGATTAGTTTAAAAATAAATAAATATAAAACTCAGCTGAGCTTTGGAGTTTCATTAGCGTGAAATTTGAGTTATAAATGCCTGTTTTATATAAATGATGATTAGATGAACAGCTACAGCTGAATAACCGTTTCTTAAAAAAGGTCATATTTAAAACTCTTTAACGAAAAATTGCAGTACCGCAGAATAACCTATATTTTTCGTTCTTTCTCCCTATGCTATAAGTCGACATTGATTTGCTCCAAAACCGGATCTGCACGAGGCTTTTTCCTGAAGTCGACTCCAATATGCATTCAAGTTTGTTCTGTGCTACAACTAGTAATTATAAGCGATACATTAGCGGGAAGTTATGATGGTATTATTGCCAACAGTTTTCTAGACTTTAATCTTCACTGCTCCATTCATGGGTAGTATCGTGATGTTATAAAGACTAAATACTTCCACAATAAAATATCTATTCAACACAAATTAATTCTCTTCTTATTTTTCTTTTTTTAGGAAGCCTACGTTTATATATTTTTTCATAATTAAGGCAAAAAAACTTCCAATTTCCTTCAAATCCCTTTATTCACATTTATCACCTCTAACGTTTCGGTACAATATTCCCATCATCAGAGCAATCCTTATATTCACTGAAACTTGCTTTTTTGATGTGCCACCATTTGTAAAAAAATTAGATATTTGTCACGTTCATTATATATCTATTTGGTGTTACACATCCTTTTTTTGAATGAATAATAAAACAAACAAAAAATAAGGATGTCTAACACCAAATAAATATATAATGAACGTGACAAATATTTAAATTTTTTACAAATGGCCCCACATCAAAAAAGCAAGTTTCAGTGAATATAAGGATTGCTCTGATGATGGGAAAATTGTTCCGAAACGTTAGAGGTGATAAATGTTAATAACGGGATTTGAAGGAAATTGGAAGTTTTTTTGCCTTAATTATGAAAAAATATAATTCTTTAAATCGGATTGGGAGTGCGTTCATACAAATTCTATACCTCTGTATATTAATATATGAAGATAGCTATAATAACTAATTCCGTAACATTTGTTTATAATTTAATTTCTTATGTTATCAGAGCATGCTGTTACAACTAACCTTGAAATGTCCATTAAAAAACTTGAAAGAGGATTATATATTTATACTTCGAAATTATTTTATATAGCAGCATAATGCAGAGTCAGCTAATTTAAACTTGTGTTATCCTTTTAAAAGTTTGAGTTCACTATAATGAACTAAAATTATTTCATCAAACTTCATGCTATCACAGCATGGTTAAAAAAATTGACTATGTATTTATGGAGATGACATATTTACGAAAATTTTGAATGAATCATAATTTATTCTGTTATATCTTCGAATTTTTTTAATTGAATATAAGCCTAGCTTCCTCTTGAAAGCAAAAGTTTATGCCGCAGAAATTCTTTACACTCAAATCAAGCTCTTTGACAGACGACTTTTTGACACGGAATGTCTCGAGGACAAGGCAGGTAGAGAGCTGTCAATTGGAGGACTCGGTTGTATCATACTTTGGAAAGCAGCAGATTAGTTATAGCTGAAGGACTCTGTGAAGAGCGTACGAAGAAGAGGTCTTCGGTCGGCAAATAACTTTGGGATAGTAGCAGTGGTCAAATAACTTTTTCTACAGAAAAGATTGTATTTAATTCTATATCAATTTTTTTTTTAAGTTATAAATTTTATAACTTTAAAAAAAATTTTTTCGCCTTATAGGTTATTCGGGGTTTTCTCGTGCCAGAAGATAAGAGCAGGGATTAATTCTAGATTTAATAGCCCCCAGCACCGGGACGCGAACTAATTATTATAATAATTAATTATTATAACAAATTATATTTTATCAGATTGCAGGGCTACGCGGTACTGTACACAACGGTACAATATTAGAAAGGAAGGAGCAAATCTAAGTAATTTTGCAATTCAGAAATAACTAGCATTTTTCACCACTGTACTGTCCTTCATTTCGTTTTTCTGCTTAGTGTATACTCTATATACCCAAAGTTCTGTACATATTCAAAAATTTTTTCCTGTTAGGTGTATATAAACCTGATATCTAAGAATGATGGCATAACTAAGAATGATTGGGCCCCAACACTAGTGATATTCCTTGAGACCACACTACAAAATAATAGCCAGCTCTATACTCTATAGGTATTACCTTTACACCTCGTACCATTTTTCGAACTTCCTTCAAAGCATACAAAACAAGGTAAAATCATATAATGAGTTTTGTATGCTTATTTGTTTGAAATGTCTTCCATAATAACTGTGTTCCGTTTAGGCACTGTGTCCCAATGCGACGAGTTGATTACATGGCCATTGATAATAATGTAGTTTTTTTAGGTTACCGGAAAATAATATAGGATTTCATGCTTAATTCACATTAAACCTCTTATATAAAAAACTGTTAACATTTGAAGGATTAATCTTTCATAAGAGTGTCAACACTTATTAATCATCTATCAAACCAAAATGTTTTGTATCTTCTATAGAATTTCAATAGCAAGAAATAATTCATTAAGATTTCCAAGGATGGAATTTCGCATAATTTTGTATAACGAGTTAAAACTCAGGCGGAACGGAGCCCAAACGGTCAGAAATATCAATGGAGTATAGAGCGTTTTTAATGCTTCAATCATTCAAAGATGATTTAAAAAAATTATTTTTGTCATCAGGACCAATATTTGAAAAAATAAAAATTTTATTGATCGAATTCGTTAGAAACCCTAATTCCATAATGAGTTAATAATAACGATTCAACAATCTATTCAGAGGGAATGGAAATGTTATCAACACGCTGGCAGAAATTATTGAGCGTAATGGAGCGTATTATGATTAATGGGAATAGTTTTGCATCATTTATATAATTTTGTGACTATAAAACTGAAAGGAAATAATAATACTAATGATAAATAGATTTAATTAATAAAATTGCTAGTTTAAGAGGCAAAATGTACAAACATTTATCAATCAAATTAAATAATCCAGAAGTTCTGAAATCAGCGAATTTTCTTCAGAGCTGCTGTCACGCTGTCAGGAAGTCCTGACACCGAACTAATGGTAGGCGGAGATTATAGCTGGCTGTCATATACGCTGGGATTGTCCAATCCTCCACTGACATCTGCTTCCAGGCCGACCAATGGCTTCCCAGAACGCAGATACCATCATACTGCCCAGATGGCCGAAGGATTACACGGTCGATGTCTCATTTCCATTGTCTTCCGATGTCACCTTTTCCGCATCATCATCCCGCATAACGAACCGTTGCTCTTGCAGAGTCCAAGGAGGCTGACCTACAATACTTTATTGCGTGTTCGAGGCACGATATTATTGGATACATTTTTATTTATCGATTTTCAACGAGGAACACTGAGATGGGATCGGATAGGATACATCGCCCAAAGCAAATGTATGCCTATTTTAAAATATCATTAACTTATCTGGAAATATATACCTATATTTTATCTGGTAATGTATCGACATTACTTAATTTTCATTATAAATTACAGTAGGTATTACTGTGTTTTTATGTTTTTAATTTACTTATCTTTAGGTTATTTTAGTTTTTATTATACATAGTTTTTTTTATTACTATTTAGTTATTATTTTACTTTTGTTAATTTTATATTTTCTGTATATATGGTGTAAATGTGTTCACATTTCTCTATAATTATTGTCCACGAGACAGATTATTATATCTCTAAATAAAAAATAAAATAAATAAATTACAGTATTTCATCTTCAAATACTAAGTAAAAGGGATTAAATTAATCGCTGGTATTATTATTACAAAACTCATTTAATGTATAAATCAATGTATCTCAGGCTGCTGAGACATTTTTAATTAATCTGGATTATGAAAGTCTAAAAACAATGATGTTTTAGCCAAAATAATAGAACTATACACGATGGAAATTCATGGGGTCGTCAAAATAATAATAATAATAAATAAATATTTAAAATTATTATATAAAGGATCTTATTTTCAAGAATGAGACTACAAGTCAACAACGGACGTCATCGACACGGTATCTGTAGTAAACAATTTATCAGTGAGAAAAAATCAGTCAACAAGTCCAGAAATATATAAATTATCAATAATCTGACTGATGTAAGAGAAATTAATTAATAGAACGAATACAAACTATTAATAACAAGAATATTTTGAAAATTAATCATTAATACAATAGATATTTTTTATTACCCCGTGTAAAATGAAAATTATTGTAAACAATAGGGATTTAAAATGAGGAATAAGATCTATTTTGAGATAAAAATAATGGAAACAAGAAACGGGGCCCTTATCAGTCGACCTTGTGGTGTAAATGATAACGCTTCAACGACTCGCTAGTGGTTAACATTTCGGTTTCTTGGCTGTTAAGAGACAAGATGTTTCTAATTTATGTCTTAAGGAGATCATTAACGAACCATTCTCACGATAAAAGAAAAGTAGAATGTGAAATACTGTATAAGTTGTGCGGCTTAAATTCCATCACGTCACTCCAACCCAGTAACGGAGATTCAGGATTTTTGTTTTTATTTTAATAATAATTACTATAGAAGATAAATAAATAAGCTACATTGAAATATATTTATTAAATGGTCATTAATGGCTTGTAGAAAAACAATAAATAAAAATCCAGCAACAATAATGCTTTTGCAGATCAATAATTGTCTTGACATGTGCTTTGTGTTTTTTAGCTATATCGCATTATAATTTGGAATGAGTAAATACTGTGATTGTTTCAGTATTTAGATCAAATCACTCAAAGAAACCGACCAATGAAAAAAACATTTCTTTTTTGTTAGTTGGAAAAAACATCTTTTTTTTTCTTTCATATTTCCAAGTAATATTCAGTAAAGAAAAATGATCAAATTAACGTCAAACCTTAGAGAATATATAAAATGAAATAATTTGATTGTGTCACTTTTATTATAAACTAGCTGATCGTTGACGGGTGTATAGTTAAAATGTGAGAATCGTTTTTTGAGATGGATATTGTACTATGGAAGAGAGGTCAATTTTGTAACATTGGGTGAGGAGGGAGAAGTAATTTTAAATTTTAGAAGATTTTCTTCCGGTTTCGGGCTAATTCGTTAGGTTAATTCTAAAAATGTATACGGCAACATTTTTTAAGCTCGGGAAGTTGAATAGAAAGACACCATGAACGGGAAGATCGGTCAAAGTTGAAAAATGAGTGTGTTTTAAGCGGCAACGCGTTATAGATGTTTGGTATTTCGGATTTTTCCCGTTGAGTAGTGATAATTATTTCCATCAGTTGAGTAGATTGGGATGAGAATCGAAGTAACTGCCTAACCGGGATCTTTAGACAAATTACCCAAGAATTCATAACTCTGGTTCTATTCAATATTTCGTTTTAATTTAAAGCTTTGTTTTAAGTCCAGTAAACCTTAACATAATGTCAAAATTTCAAAAGTCTACAATAAGCCAATGCTGAGCTTACCCCTGACAAAATTTCGTTGCAATGCGGACATACAGACAGACAACAATTTTTTTAAAAGTGGATTTGGTGTCTGCAATGTATGACATGGAAAGATATCATAAAACGGGTTTATTCTATTCAATGTACAGACAAAATCTTTATTTTATTGATATAGATAATATTAATCTAATAAAATAATTTATTCCTAATTAATGGCTTTATAAGTATATGAACTGTCTTCTAAAATCATAACTACTTTCTTCGCCAGAATAAACTTATTTTATAAGAAATATTTGAATTTTTCCCCTGATTATATATTAAATACTTTGTAATTAAAATGCACTATATTTTAAAAATACAGAATACTAGGTATTTTAAAATAATAATTAAAATACTTATTGTCCAGGTGTGACAAAGTGGCAATAGTTCTCTGTGATATCCCCTCTCCTTCGGACATATTACCCTTCCGTCCAGTGGAGGTTCTGCCGAAAAGAAAATTAAATACAGAAACCGAAAGGTGACCAGCTATGACAGCGCTCCTTTCATGAGGGCGAGCGAACTGAAGCGAAGAGAGCGCCCGCCATTACCGGAGGCTCCTCGGAGGAAGAGTACACAATGCGACAAAGAGCCAAGAGACGGTCAGAAGTGGTCGCAGTTTTGGGTTATTTGTAAATGAGGTCCGGTTATGACGAGCCTTTTGTCCTCAGCACCTGGCGTCCTCCGGTTCCCTTGAGAACTGCCGCCTGTAAAAGGAGCAAGTGTAGCGTTACCATCGCTCCTGCTCTGGAACAGTCCAGGGTATCCGTCAGCTTAATGGGTCATAGTCCCGCTACAGCACGATCTATTAGAGCTATGGAGAGGATACGTCTGAAATGGAAGAATCAGATATGGATGTCACTGGCGCAGCAATCTCTTCGGCTCTTGTCTACTTTAAGCACACCAGTGAAGCTTCCTTTTTTCCTTTTCGCCACTCTGACACGGTGTCGCGTTAATATACAATTGAATAATAGATCATTACAAAGAGGGTGAAACGCTGAACATTTACCCCGCTTACAGTATGCAGATCCAATTTCTAGTTTCTGAGATATTTTAATATCAATATGCTCGATCAAACTCGTTTCCTTTTTGTCTCCCTAACACGGCGTCACGTTAAGATAATAAGATAAGATAACTTTTTTTAGTAATAGCTCATTACAAAGAGGATGCGATTCTGACCATTTACCTCGCTTACAGTATGCAGGTCTGATTTTTAGTTTCTGAAATATTTCCTTCAAAATGCAAAAACACTTTAAAAATTCATTGGTGTGCTTTAAGCAGAAAAGAGCCTCTTGCAGACATATATATAGATTTCACCGATGGCGAGGCCACTGTCGATTACGTATTGATACTGCAGTGCCTTTCGGAATACAAAAAATAAATACGAATACGAAGGTCCAGTAGACTTGAATACCTTCAGTGCTCGAAACACGCCCTGATGATGACCCAACTGATTTGGTTGAAACGTCGGCACCAATAAAAACTTTATAACGACTGCGTCCTGAATGTTTAATGCCCATGGTACAGTTTAGAACTTAAAAACCAGGAGACATTATAGTTTCAAAGGAACCACTCATTTGTCTACATGCCAACCACCCTAATTGGTCTATATGCCCGCTTTGAAATCTTTAAAACAAAATTTATCTTGCCTCTATCCGTTTACTTTTAAAATCCTCTGAGATTTTTATGATGACTTATATTGAAGTTGTGAGAATTCTATGATCGAAATTAGATACATGACTTCTCCATGAAATTTTTTTCCGTTTGATATCTCATTAATACAATTCATCGCTCCTGAGAGCAGGATACTACTAACGTATCATATATGAAAAGAAAGAAAACCTGAAGACCCTGTAGGGTTTCAATGCTATTTAGGGAAAGTACTGTTTCTTAGTCAACGATTAATTAATTATTTAATTTAGAGTACCCACTTTACAGAGGTTGGTTTTGCCCCAGAAGAGTTTTCTGATCCCTGGGTTGCTCCACGGCTGATGAAACAGAATAAATAATTTTTCCAGCATGAGCCGGGATTCGAATCCGGGACCTTGAGAATTTTAAAATCAGTACCCTACCACTGAGCTACTCCACTCTCAACGCATTATATATACAGCAGATTATTATACTTCTCATTTTTATAAGATTTAAACTGCGAAGTGCATAAGTCCAGCTGCTTAGAAAATCTATTTTTACTATACTCTCTATTACATTATTATTCGGATGAAGTCAGAAATAAGATGTTTACTGTTTTATATGACTTGCATATAGCAGTAAACAATTATTTAATCTTAGTTTTATATCTGATTGCACTACCAGATCCAGGATTTAATTTTTTTTTTTTGGGGGGGGGGAGGGCTTCAGCCCGAAACCTTTGTTTTTTCATAAAAATAATGATAATTACTTTGGAAAAACAGAAAGAAACTAACTATCTATATGAAATGGTGTTTAAGTGATTCCTTAAGTCCTTTTGAATGTAATTACACGAACAATAATACTTTAAGAGGTATTTTAAAAAAAAAATCCATAAAACATTGTTATATTTTACCATTTTGGGAGGGGGGCTTCAGCCGTAAAGCTCTCCTCCTCCCCACAGTAGAACCACCCGTGTCTGATTGCAACTTTTTTCTCCCTTTTTTAAACATCTTTTTCGAGGGTCAACAGTAGCCATTTTATTATGAATTAATGTATTTTTTGTGTCGGCCAGCATGAAGGAACCAAGTCCGTTTAAATTATATAAATTAATTAGCTGGGTCTTCCGTTTCAGAAGGACATAATAGTACCTTTTTCATAAGAAGATTTGATAGCCAGAAAGCAGGATCGGAAATAGCATTTTCGCCAGGGGGATAGGAGCAATCTTCATTTTGCCTTTCACCCTCTCTTCTCCAAGAAAAGGCAACAGCTTTAAAAGTAATTATATTTTAAGGTTATACATCTCGAAAATATTTCATTGTCTGATTAAGTTTTCTTATTTTATTCACTGAAAGGTCAAAATGGTCGAAAAAAAAGTAACAAATACCCTCTTTGTCCCTCCCCTTCCCACCAGTTTCGATCCTGATATGAAGGGATAGATAGAGGAAGTACGTACCCACACAACTATTGAAAAACAGAGGATATTGTAGTTTTACCCTTTAATGCTCATTCTGAAATTGATAAGGGATGTCATATACTGGATGCCTTTAATGCTTAGTTAAATAAACATTAAGGAGTTTTCGATAGTTTTGAAGAAGAAAAATGAAGAAATACTTTTGAGAACAAAAACGTTAATAAGAAATAAATAACATATTCTAATTCAGAAAAAAAAATATCGTAACAATAATTTGTTGTAAATAGAATAATGTAATCTACAGAAAGAAATTCTTATAATAAAATTAATTAAAATAACTAGTAGGCCCGTGCGAAAAATTCGCACAGGATATTGTTATGTGATCAAATGCCAAATTAATAAGAAAATAAAATAATGCAACGTATCGTACGATAAAGAAATCAATTGTTACTTTATCGATAAATATAATCAACAAAGAAAACAAAAATTAAGTCAAAACTTTATTAATATTTGGAACCAACATTTACAAATCTTTGCTAAAAATTACTCGATTCCGATGATTTTTTTTTCCTTTTGTAAAGAATTTAGTAATCTTTTCTATGATCATGGACATAACCGGGGAAACATGTGTAATTTTTTAGTTATTCGTAAATAAAGTTTCTTTTCTTTCATAACCTTTTTGTCTTAATTTTCGGGTTGATAGTTTGCCCGCCTGAAGGAGAAGGAAGCCTTCAAAATTTGTGGCTCAATCTTGAGATTTGGTGAAAAATTAAGGATGATGTGGCTTGTCGACAAAAAACAAAACACCTTCGTTAAATAGTATAAGCTCCTCCTCTCTCGATCATAGGGGCCTCAAGTCGAAGACATGTATTCAATGACAGTAATACAATTAAAGTAAGGTTGTGTGTATGTGCACCCTCTTATCTCGAAAATAGTACGTTTTCGGGCTTGAAAAGGGAGGGCTCGATAGTTCCGAAGGAACTATCCGAGTCTTGCTGTACGCATCAAAGCCTTATTTGTCCCGTATCGATCTACAGACTTACCACCGTTTCAGTATTCAGTAAGCCTAGCAAAATGTTTGTATAGACTTTATTTATTTTAGAAAGAAAAACGGAGGATATGATTCGCTAACCCCCTGTGAAATTTTTATTCCAACGGTACCCCATTCATGGTATTTGAGCATGAGAGGAGCTTATATTTGGTACAAAACCGATTTCGAGTCTTACTGTAATAATATATGTGGGGATATAAAAACTGATATTGTTCATGTTCATATAAGAAATCAAAACAAAGCATTACAATGACATGATAAAGTTTTAATTGTTAGTCATTGAAGAATTGTGTCAAAATTGGAAAATCAAAATAAAACCAAGCAAATCCCATCAAGTCGTATTTATCCTAAGTAAACCTGCTACATATTGTCTTACAGTATTCTTTAACAATACTCCACTTAGCCCTGACGAACAAATCCGTTACTAAGCACATATAAAACGCCTTACTAATATAATATAAAAATTTATTATATTAATAATAAATTTTAGGATTCACCAAAGTTGAATTTATTTGTTAAGCGCATATTGCGGTTTTGGAATGAGCGCTAATATCTAGGCAATATACCTGCTTCAAAGTGCTTCCGATCCCCAATCTCTAAAATTTTTTTTTGAAGCGATAATAATGGTAAAGCAAGAACTATATCTAGACCCTAAAGACCTCAGACCCTGAAGACATAACGACATCTGCTTGAAGAGGTTGCGCGTGTCACATTACATCGGACACGTGGGCGAGGCAACAAAAAAATCCAGCGGTACCCAAAGAGGTTTAAAAAAACATAACTAATGTCTGACCTAGTTCCGCGGAGGATCAGCTGCTTCCAAAGCGTTTGCAGAACCAATCAGCAAACCAAACACCCCGGGGTGCTAACTCCTTGTAATAGTTTTTTGTCAGGTCAGCCAACTAGCGGAATAGGAAAAAAAAAATAGCTGAAACAAAAAACTGGCAACATGTGGTCAATCTAATATCCGAGCGGTTCTGTTAGCAGAATCATTAAAGAGAATAATAGGACGCCCTTTTTAAGGGGAAATGCCGGGAAATTTCAACTTTATCCTCATTTATAGCATCCTTTGTCGGTTACCGATTTCACAAGCCCGGAACAGACAGACAGGGCCTTAGTCGAGAAAAAAGGAGGAAAGTGGAGTTTCACGGGTTTTACGTGTTTTAATGTTTGTAGCTGTAGTAAAAAAAAAAGGAAAAAAGAGAATTAGCTCCTTTTAGTGTCAAACATATGCTTCCCTGAATAATTGTAAATTTTAAGGTTATCAAAATCGGTGCCCTTGATACTATTCCGCAGAGATTTTCAATGCCTCCGAGAGTATCTTTTATTATAATTTTCAAGCGGTACCTCTTTCTTCTTTCGCGCAACCATTTAACAAAATTTTATGAAACCAGAGGAACATGAAGCAATATTAAAATTTGAAACAGTTCATAAAATATATCATAGGTTTATTGCTAAAAGAAATTAAGTAAAATTTAATAACCTTGAACAATTAAGAACTTTAAATAATTTTCCCTTTGCGAACAAGAAAATTGTGCGCTTGTTGTGACTGTATTTCATATACGAACCTTTCAGTTGACAGAATGACTAACTCCTATTTCTACATTTTGGAAATTTTAGTGATATTTCTAACGTGAAAATTTATATTTTTAATCACAGTTCTTTATTTCAACACTGCAATCACCTACTCTGCAATCAACTTACTGTCTGTACAGATATTACAAATTTTCCAACTAGAAATATCATTAAAATGACTTGACTCAAAAATGTCGAATTTGGAGTTAGTCATTCTGTCAACTGAAGGACTCATATAAATTGGCTTGTCTTATTTTCATGAACTTACAGTGTTTTAGCATTGATGAATAAAGTCGGAATTCACAAAACTTGTTTGAAAGTTAAAGAATATCAGAAATGTACTTCATGATTTTTTGAAATAAACCGACGATATAATCATATTTCGTATTGATGTAATATCCGAAGATCGAGTAAATCAAATCATTATTATCTTTTAATTTTTTTGTTTGGCATATTGGCAAGTTTTCATATTATTAATAATTATCCTCCGAAACGTAAAAAAAAAACTGCAATTTAACTTTCTTTTGAATGGTAATAATATTGTCACTCTGTTTTATCAAACGAGAAACAAATAGTTTTAAATGAAGTAATACAGTGTAATAATATTTTCAATATTACATATTTATTTTCGCATATTCCGAGCAATCATAAGTTAAACTTATCAAAGAAACACTTACGCGACATAATTCAACATGTTTTAATGAAATTAAGTTCCTATTAGCCTAGGTGCGTGTGCATACTTTTTTTAATTAATACTTACATTAATGATTACATTTTAAATTAATACTTAATTTCCCGTCTCCATCAAGTCGAGAATTCATGTAACATATCACGTCTTTAAATTCAGACTATACATTAGTCTTTGGATAAAAATTAAACCTTCATGTAAATTATTTATTAAATAAAATGAATGGTAGTATGATTGTATACCACAGGCGAATATATGGAAGGGAATTTGGGCTGAACCTCCTCTCTCCTCCACCCAAAATGGTAAAATGTAATCATGTTTTATGGTTAAAAAAATATCCCTTAATGTATTATTGTTCGTGTAATTACATTTAATAGGACTTCAAAAATAACTTAAACACCATTTCATATAGGTAATTAGTATGTTTCTTTTTTTCCCAAAGTAATTATCGTTATATTTATGAAAAAAAAAACTTCTGGCTGAACCCCCCGAAATTAAATCCTGGATCCGTTAGTGCTGAATACAACCACCATTCTAGACACAAGCGGATACAGGATTTAATTTTGGGAACGGGGATTCAGGCCGAAAGCTTTTTTTTTTTTCATAAAAATAAGGATAACTTTGGATAAAAAGAAAGAAACTAACTATCTATATGAAATGGTGTTTAAGTGATTTCTAAAGTCCTTTTAAATGTAATTACATGAACAATAATACTTTAAGAGATAATTTTTAAATATTTTTTTCCATAAAACATGTATATATATTACCATTTTGGGAGGAGAGGGCTTCAGCCCCAAAACCTCCCTCCCCGTAGATCCGCCCGTGATTCTAGATAGGTATAAGACTTTTAACCTGTAACGCAGTTCTTTTCTTTTAAATACACGAAGTCATCTTCGCATATTTTTAATATGAGAATGTAATAGAGCAGAAAAAAATTTGGATTTTTTTTTCTGCAAGAGTGAAATCTGTCATGATTGATGTATTGACTGCCTTTCATCTAAGCACGGTATATCAATCATAAGATTAGTTTATTTTTAAAACAATTTAATAGCAGGATAAGAACAGTTGCAGTGCTTTCTTTGGACTCCAGTACATCTGTGCCAAGATGACAAAGAGATGGCCCACAGGTAGGTTGTTGTTTTTTTTTTTTTTTGTTTTTTTTTCCTTTTCGTTTTCTTAAGAGTGTGTTCCTGACACGGAATGTTAAACAGAGGATTTTCGGTAAGTTCGTGACGAGAGTTACCTAAGCGGAATTTCCAAATCCACTAATACCATACGACTTTCTGCTTATCTAAAAACGCAATGTTAGAATTTGAAGTGAAATATCGTCGGTCTATTGCAAAAAATCACAAAGCATATTGTTGACAGAGATTAACTTATAAGGACATTTTTATATTATTAGTTGCGTATTTCATTAAAAAAAATAAGGTGTGTGCTTTAGACCACACGATAGAAGTGAAAATAGCAACAAGGCGAGATTAATAATATGAAATATAAATAATAGCACATTATAAAGATATTTTCCTAACTTACAGTATACAAGTCCGATTTTTAGTATCTGAAATATTTTAATCCATATATTCAAATAACCTCGTTATCATTTGGTTTCGTTATCATTGGTCGCGTTTCGATTTTCGATACAATTTTGAATTATAGCTTATTACAGACAGGATGAAATGCTGAACATTTCCTTCTCTTACGGTATGTAGCTTCTGTTATATTTTAATCCATCTTTCATAAAACCCTTTAGTTTGAGTATGAGTTTCTATTGTATCTTAATATTTTTTAATTATTTTAATTATTATGGGCATCGTTATAAATAAAGGAGAGCTGGAAAATACGGCGCTCTCCCTTGAGAATGGTGAGTACATCCAAACATTGAAGAATGGAGATACGATTAAGTATTTAGGATGTACATTCTCGGGAGAGCTACAATTCAACGAAGATTCGGTGACTAAATTGAATGATAATTTAAACAAGCTGGTAACCTCTTGCTTACTTAAACCTGAGCAGAAACTCAACATTGTCAATCAATATCTGTTCCCGGGTCTTACTTACCCTCTCCAAACTGCGCCCCTAACAAAGCTACGTCCTGCTATACTGGAGGGCTGCTATACTATGATTCGCAGGCGCGTAAAGGCCATTATTGGACTCCCTGCGAATACTTCCACAGCGATGTTGTATGCCCCCAGGAGATACCGAGGATTGGGATTAATCCGCTGCCAATGGGAGGCTCCTCTTCAACATTGGTCCATTGCTCAGCGACTGTCCAATGTACCAGATGCCCTTTTTCAGTCTACCTTCGATTATTCGGCTGAAATTGCTGAATGTGCCGAGAGATTGGGGGTTGATCAGGGTCATCGAAATGTGAAAGCTCTACGGCAGTCGCTACGAGAAAATTTGAGGAATGGGCCAACTGCAGGTGGCAGGGTATTGGTGTTCGCCATTTTAAAGAGACACCGAAAGCGAATAGATACATCAACGAAAAGCAAGTACTTTCTCGGTCTGAATGGTCGAATGCCCTAAAACTAAACATTAATTATGCATCCCTGCGTGGAGTCCCAGGAGTCAGCGGACAGGTCAGAGAAGTTGGGTCCCTCTGCCGTAAATGCGGCAGAGAGTCTGAAACACCAGCCCATGTGCTGGGAAAATGCCCCAACAACTCCCTTCTCATAACACGTCGTCACCACCGGGTCAAGTTCAAAATTCACCTGCTTTGACGAGGTATATTGCATCGATAGTGAAGGCTCTACGAGATACGCTGATATCATCGCATTTCCCAAGACAGGAAGGACAGCGCTGATCTTGGATCCAACTGTCCGCTTTGAGAGCAATGACCTCGATCAGGCAGGTGAAGTGGAAAGGGAAAAGAAGAACACGTACGATAAATGTATCCCTTTCCTAAAAGAGAAATTCCGTGAGACCTTCGGAGAGAGAGAGTTCACCGTGAGAGGCCTCTGGTTTGGGTCTCGCGGAACTATCCCAAAAAGAACAAGGAGCTTCCTCGAGGAACTAGGTGTCGACATTAAGGAATAGCGAGGTTGGCTGAAAATATAGTCCTCGACTCCCTGGGAATCATTCACCACCACGTGCATGGCTAGCCCGAGAGTTTTAATTTATGTATTTGTTTATTTATTTATTTAGTGAATAATCTATTGAAAACAATAGAGATAAAGAGAGAGAAGTGAGAGAAAGGGAAACTTAATGTTAAATAAAAAAAAAAAAAGCATGAACAATGAGAAGAAGGAAAAAGGAAAAAAAAAAAAATTATAAAAATAAATAAAATAATAAAAATGTATATATATATATATATATATATATATATATATATATATATATATATATATATTTTACTAATATTAACTAATACTTCTGTATATTTATATATAAGTTCATATATTGTCTTAAGGATAGAAGAGTATGCTGTGTATATAGCAACCCAATATAATTCGGCAGCAATCCTTTATATTTTATGAAAATAAAGTGTTTCTCTCTCTTTATTACATCTTTCCAGTTGATATTGGGGAAATAAAACAGACCATACAATATTTACCTATTGGCTATTTTATTTATTTTTCAAGCGTTTTTGATCCATCTCCATTGAGTTTTATACATCATTGCTACTATCTGATTTTAGCTTATAGAGTGTGGAATTGACATATTTCCCCAATTTTTTTCACTTTCCCCATTCATATTATAAATGATAGGACTAAGTGGAGCGCCACTATTATGTAACTTTACTAACCAATATATTCTAGGTGTATTGTAGTTACGGTTAATTAGTTTAATTTCGTTTGGTAAGAAATTTTTAATAACAAAGTTTTATTGCATAAAATATAGACTTCAAAGCAAGGTCAATCTAAAAATACCTTTAATGATTTATAATTTACTTATTTAAATTAGTGATATTTACTATTTGTATGTTGTATCTAACGAATGTATAATATTTATGTGGAAATCTCCAGTTGGAAGGTTATGTAATGTTATACTATTATATATTTTCCATTGTGCCTAAGAATTACTGCTATTATTACCATTTATATTATTTATCTTCTTATTTTTTATACATCGTTAATAATGTTGTCAAAATAAAATTTCAATGCTGTAATAATATCAGCATTTGTACTGTATATTAGCACAAACTCGTTATCGTTTGGTTTTGGTCACTATCTTATTCCCTCACCTGCTCTCTAATATGGTTTTGGGTTAATATACAATTTTGAATAAGAGCAATACGAAGGAATAAGAGCCAATAGAAATAAGACAAAATGCTGAACATCTACCTCTCTAACAGTATACAGGTCCGATTCTTAGTATCTGAAATATTTTAATCTATATATTCAACTAACCTCATTATCATTTGGTTTTCGACACTATTTTTTTCCTTTTCACCTCCCTAATACGGCGTCGCGTTACGATACAATTTTGAATTATAGCTTATTACAGATTATAGCTTATTATAGCTACGGTCTATAGCAATGCAGGTTTTTCGGTCGCCATCTTGAAAACTAAAGGCGGAGAGAAATGACGATTAAGGAGGATCATCCTCGGGTGACCTCAAATTTTAAAGCAAAATTTGAAAACAAAATCGGTCAAGTACTTCGAATTCTACGTATCCTGAAACGTAAAATCTCAAATTTTGAGAGAGGGTTTTTGAATTTTTTGTTCGATCACAATGGTTCATTATCGATAGTAATAAACAAAAAAAACATAGATGCTGCGATCGATGCAGAAACTTCAGTACAGGACTTAATAAGGTGGTACTTTCAACCAACGGGTATGACAAGCGATTACGCTCAACCACTTATTTCGCCAACACAATCAATATTCAGATAGGGAATTTACGGAAGGTGGATGTGTCCCGATAGATCTACTGACTGCAGAGTCGATTATTTTTTGATTTATGATTTAAATTTGGTTTTCAGGTCTAAATTTCTTTCCTAGCTCTAGAAAGTGGTCATAAATAAATAATAATAATTAAAAAACAAAATAATCTCTTTCTCGTTATTTTCTGGAAATAGTATGGGCGATGTTTTATCACTTAATTTAAGTCTTGTATTAATTTTAGTAAAGAAAGTGGTGAATTATCTATTTCAATACTACTAACAAAAAATTTAATGTTAACAGAAATGATCAATCTACTAACAATATTCTACTTTATTTCAAGCTTTATTTGAACTTTCCGAAGTGTTTCTGATCGATATGTAAAGGTTGTACTTAGCCAGATTTAATGACTAGTAGCAATTATGAACCATCATAAAAAATATAATGAACATATTATGTTTAGTATATTGGTAAACAGGTAACGGTTGATAATAAATATTATTATGCATTGTAATGTCAGATTCTCATATTCATAATGAGAAGATTCCTATCACAACTCCCGTGAGCCTCAACCTTACTTAACGGTAGGGAAGGGTTAGGAGGGGTTAATATGCCCGTTATGGGAGATGCGGAAGAGACAAGAATAGGAAGGGCTCGAGGAGCACGCGAAGCATCGGCCGCCATTTTTTGCAGGGGTGGATATCGGTACCATATACCTGGATATCTAGGAAGCAGGAAGGTTGGCAGCTGTGACAGCGAGCAGCTGTTGGCATAACTGGGTCAGGGGGCGGCCAAACACAGGTGCGGCAACCGCACGATATAGCGCTCTATCGAGTGTAGTAATACATATTACAGGGGCTGAGCGTGTGTCGGGCCAGAGGTTGGTTCCAAATAATTATATTAGGGTGGAAGAGGGGGGGGGAGGATGCCAAGAAAGATTAAGTTCTCTCACCATCCATCTTCAACTTCTAATTATCCACAAAAGGTATTATACAGAAATAACGGAACATTTACATCTTCGTATATTCAAAAACTCTTAATTTTTCCATTGATTCTGGGGTGATGTTTGACTATTCTTTCAATCTGAAGGAGAATGAAATCTTCTAAATAATGGCTCTGTAATTCAGTTTATGAATTGATGAAGAATAAATGAAGATGTGACATAGCGACACAAAAACATCTTTAAGAAATAATGTATAAAGATACCCACCCTCCTCTCTCATTCATAGGAACCCAATCGAAGGAAAGCGAAATGTATCCCCTGGCACCAATAAAATCAACGTGAGCATGTTTGGCTCCAAACCCTTTACCTTGCATTATAGCAAAAACGATGCATTTTTGGGTTTAAAAACTCTAAAGCGCTTTAATGGCATTTCAACTTTTCGTATTGTAATGATTACACAATAAAAGTTTGGATGTATTTTCAATTTAATTCAAGGTTATCCAGAGTATTAATAGGCAAGTAGAGTCGAGTAGGCGAAATGTCGTTTGACCGCTCGGACTTTGAAGCACATTTTGGTCTTTAATTTTTTAAATTATTGTTATGGATGTTACTTTAACAACTTTTGTCTGATGCTAACAGAATATATAAAAGCTATGCAATTTGTTTAAACATTCTAGTTGTTACAAATATAGTTAAATTATCCGCATCAAAAACATGAAAAAGATAAATAGCACTTAAGTTGAGAGCGGCAGATACTACGAGTGAAATACGCCTTTAATTTTAACAGTCACTTAATGCTGTTTCAAATTGATCATAATGAATTTCTTCGAGATATGTAGAGATTATGAGTTTTGGGAGGAAAACCGAAGAAAACAGACATTTCTTGTGAAATTAGCTAACAGTCGATATTGTTTAACTCCTCACCTGTCGGACCTAATTTATTTAAATTTATTATAAATTTGATCTTCTTTAATTTTGTTAATAATAATAATAATTTCGATAAAATGCATAATTTAGGAGTTATGTCCAAAAAACTAAAAAAAGTGCAGACAGTTCGTTGCTTTTTTATATATCTCGGAATGCAATGGAAAATTTCGACCGGTAACATCAAATTCAGAATCCGTATTCCAAAATACACATATAACCACAAAATATTTTAGTTTTTTTCTCATCCGACTACCATCCAACAAGCCTAATTTGATGACTTTGACGTCGTCAGTTTTCAAAAAGCAACAGAGTACATCGTCAGTCAAGGTGAATTTTCTTTTAGGGATACTCTTGACATCATATCAAAAATTCAGCCGCATGTCCGCATTAAATGGACTGTCAAATTTCGCCTCCTTAATTTGAATTTTCGCATAGAAAGCAATGGCTTTCAACTGACTGCCCAAAGTTGTGTGTTCAGATTAGATTTATCTAGAATTTAAAATGGTTTATCTAGCTTTAAATCCTTCTATTAAATGAAATGGTCGGTAATTAGTAGTCTGTAATTTCCGGAGGAACACAATCGGGTCTTAAGATTCGCATTAAAATCTCAATTGATCCTGTCTCGATCCACCGACTTATATTCTACCTCAGTATTGATGCCCATTGAAATGTTTATATTGACTTTATTTACTATTGAGAAAAAAAAACACTTAAAATACGATTCGCTAATTCTCCGTGAAATTCTGAACCCAATGATACCACATTTATGCTATTTCAGCAGGTAGGAGCTCATATTTGGTACAAAACCGATTTCGATCCTTAATGAAATAATATATAAAGCGATGATTGATACTTCATAGCACAGTTATAACCGGCGTTGTTAGCATTGGCCATATGGATATCTTAAGATTATAAGCAATCAGTGAGGAGCTATACAACAAGCAAAAAAAAAAATAAACACTTCCACCTCTAATTTATTATTAAATATCCATCTGGCTTCAGCAAAACTTTGCCGTGACCGGCGCCATCTAGGAAACTCACGTTTTGCTGTGTATGGAGAATGCGGTGGCACGGTGGCAGATGCACGGAAGGGTTGTTTAGAGAGGCTCTACTGGCCCTCGATAATAGCCTCGGCACATGCCTGGCACATGGCCGGCATGCGCCCACCTTCCTGCGTTAGCCAAGCCACGGATCAACCGCCACATTCCCATTTAAAGATTAATTAAGAACAAAGGGGAACTTCCAAGTGAAATCTCAAGCGACATATCATCGAAATAAATCCTTCCAAAACAGTCGAAATCGTCTTCTCATTTGAAACATGACCTTCCAAAGATATCATAAT